TATATATGTCTATTTTATCATGAGCTGCTGGACAGCTGAATTTCCCTTCGGGGATTAATAAAGTTCTTTCTATTCTTCTATTCTGTCAGCCAACTGACATAACTATGATTTTGTTGTTGTGTTTTTCTAAAATTCTGTGTTTGTCAAATGTTGTGTTTTTCTGAAATATTGTTGTGTTTTGACCTTTAGTGCCACCATATATACCCTCTTCCACAACATAGCTATGACAGCTGTCTGACATAGCTATATCATTATTGTTGCTGTGTTTTTCTAAAATGTTGTGTTTTGTCATTGTGTTTTCTGAAATGATGTATTTTTTTTAAATAACGCTGTAATTTCTGAGATGTTGTTGTGTTTTGACCTTCAGGGTCACCATATATATCCTCTTCCACGCATCATAGCCATGTCAGCTAGCTTTAAAAAAAATGATGTGAGTGGGTTTTTAGGTATGTCAAAAGGTCATTTAAATGTGTGTTTTGTACGACTCCCATTCAATAATTTTTCTTCAAAAAATTATAATTTTAAGCTTCTGGCACCATAGTTTACAGTACCCATCTGGCAACACTGCTGTTCGAGCCCATTCATTTTGAAAGAGTAATGGCCAGTGGGGAAACTCCAACACTCAACCGACCAATGGTGTAACTTCATCACTCACTTATTCAGTAAGTTAGGGACAGACTTTAACATTTAAAAGGCTGACCCCACTTTGCTGCAGTCCAGCCACAAAAGAAGAAACTAAAAAACACACTAATAATAATTATAAGTACATTAGCAGCCATTGGATTTTGACCAATATGTGATGAAAAGTTGTATCTGTCAGTGGTACATAAGCATGCCATGTTTATTTGGCATATGTCAGTAAGAAGAGTCATGCAGAGGAAGAGTGATACCAACTGTCAATGTGGCATAGCCTGCATATTAACATGACACTAAAACAAGAGTGTAGTATCATCAGTGTATAGGCTACTGGTGGAAAGGTATCTGCCAGTGAATATATGTGATGCCCTGTCTGTAAGTGGCATATGCCAGTAGATAGGCAGCGGCATACCAGAACTGGTAAAGGAGAGGCGTGTCATCAGCCACATTTCAATCTCAGCTCAGTATGTTTTTAGGCCAGTCAAGTGATATAGGGACCTTGCTATGGCCCTGAGTTAACCATCAGCTTCAGTTAACAGCTTGTTTACAACCACAGAGCCGCTGTGTAAACATCTACAGAAGAATGATTTAAATATTTATAGAATATTATAGGGTTGTTGTTAAAAATTGAATTGACGTTTTCTGCTGACACCGTGTTGGGTACCACAGAGCCACTCTATAAACGCCTACAGGAACATGACAGCATGTACGCTACATTGTAACTTCTCTGACACTGACTCATTTAACACTTTGTGATCAACTTGTCTGAGCAGTAACGTTAGTTCGCTCAGGACTGACGATGACAGACGGAGTTAGAATCTTGAAACACAGGCTGACTGATCGATCACCGGTTTACTGTGGGACCGGACAGATCACTGACTGATCGATGAGTGTGACGGAGTACCTGTAGTAGTAGACGTCGCTCTTTCCAGCGCTCAGTCCGGACTTCCTGATCACTTCTTCTTTCTTCCAGCCGGGCGGCAGAGCGGGACAGTCCGTCCTCTTTCTCTCCATCATGACACACTTCTCTATCCCACAATTAGGCTCCGTTAGGATCGATCTCCGCTCAGTAAACACCGATAAGGACCCTCCAGACAAACGGCGTGGTAGTAAACCCAGCGGAGCAGCAGCCCGGGCGGACCGACGTCACGGGCGTTACGTTAACGGCGGCTCTCCCTCCCTCCGCCCCGGCTGTTTATGCGGGTTATTTCGGGTTAAGTAAAAATAAAAAGTGCCCCGGCTCAGTGTGTGGGCTGGGAGCCTCCGAGGTTAAACTACCTTCAGGTCCGAATTTAGTTTAGTTTCCCCCCAAAGAGAACCAACGGCTCATCTGATCTGAACTGAACTGGACCAACGGCAGGCTGTGACGTCTGCGATATCACACACAGCCCACACACACACACACACACACACACACACACACACACACACACACACACACGCACACGCTGTCAGAGATCGTCTATTGTGAGACTTGACTCACTCAGAGGTGGTTTAAGAAAAAGCTTACGTAGTCCCAATCATACAGAAAGCGAAAGTTAAGTAGACAATATTGTTCTAAAATTGGTTGGTATCGAATAAAATATACAAATTGAAAATAATCACTCTAAATCAACCACAATGTTAATTAATTCAATCAATGTTGAAAAAGTAGGCCGACAATTTACTCATAGCAAAAAGGCTAAAAATAAATTGCCCATATAGGCTAATCACAGTACAAAAAATAGGCTACTTTATTAAAAAAAAAAAAAAAAAAAGGGGTGGGGGGGGGGGGGGGGGGTCCCCCATATAACCTGAAACTTAGAGCTTTTACATCTTAACCTGTTGTGGTTTAAACAATACTAAAATAGCTTAGATTGATTATTTATGTATTGAAAATATAAATAATATGTAAATCAAATAGTGCACTAGACTACAACAATTTTGCCTTTTAAAACAGTTGCAAACCAGTCATTAAATTTAGTGCTAAATTACATGAATGATATATTCATATGTATATATGTATGTTTGTATGTATGTATGTAGGTATGTTGTTGCTTTATAAAGAGAGGCAGCTCTGATGGGAGAGCTTCCTGTGACGGTGTCTGTTATGTTTCTGGTGCGTGGATTTCGAGACAGAGTGATCACTCTTACCTCTTTTCCCTCACATCGCTCTGGTTCAGTCCACAAGTGACGTCACAGAGTGTTTAAAGGGGCCTGCAGCACCCATGAACACTGGAGGAAGTGACCTTGGATAGCGGAAGTGATCATTATGGCGGAAGGTTTGAATTGTTATATGATGCTCTGCTTTTTTTTTTTTTAATTAATTAAAGGAGTTTGACTTTAGATTTGTGGACCCTGGGACTTCATAAGACTGGGTAGCATACTGAGGGGAGCGTTTGGTAGAGATATTAACCGACAGCCTCTGCACGTCTGGATATTTTTACAGTTCATTACAAACTCTGAAGGATGGCAGAGAGGGAGACAGATGGTGACAGCATCACCATGGAGTTTAGTGTGGAAGAGTGAAACTGTAGTGATGAAAGGAATGAGAGTGAGTGGGAAGAGGTGGTGAGAGGAAGAAGATCCACGAGGGCAACCAGCGATAACAGTGATGCTGTGAAGTGCTGAAAAGTGGAGGTTAGAGTTGGATTCTTGGGCAGGGGCAAGATGTTTTTTAAGTGGAATATCTATTGAGGTTAAAGCTGGGTCAGAACTATAGCGCATGGAACACCTCTGCAGTGGAGTCTTGTCAGCCCTGCTTTATTTTGATAATAAATGATACATTTGTAAATGTGCAAGTGGATATGGGAAGAGTCAGTGTTTGCAGATGACAAGGCTCTGTGGAAAAGGGGGAGAAATGGGGAACATATAAAAACACATATAAGCCTATATATAAGATGGAATTCCTGATGTTGAAATATAGCAACCAAGTCAAAATGTTGGCATTGTACATTTCTGCAAAACACAAATGCGTTACAGTTCTATGTGGAGCGGATAACTTGTAATTTTACGTTTCAGCAACGTTGTGGTTAATGCATAGATAGGTTTAAGCACAAAACCCACTTGGTTAATAGGGAAAGATAATATTTTGGCTTTAATTACCCAGTTTTTGAGGCTTAATCCACGTTGACAAGGCAGCAATGTCTCAGAAAAAAAAACAACTCCGAAAACATGATGAAGTAATAATGATGAAGTGATGCAATTTCATACTTCACATATCCATTCACTTTGACGTCATATTGTTATGCAAAAACACTTTCTGGCCATTTTTCAACATCACATCTCAGGAGCAGAAGGGGAGACATTTGGTGAAATACTGAATTGGTGAATGATGTGTATAAAGCATCCATGTTTTCAGAAATATGGGCCGTGTATGTCTCCGCTGATAACCATGAATATACTTTATTACCAGATTTTTGAATGGTGTTCGGTCGTAAAGTCTCCGGCGGAAACCATCTGTGCTAAACTGACTCCAGACCAGCTAAGTGAGTTAGCTTTCACGTTACCCGGGAGCCTTGAATATCCTGCTTTGAACAGTCACTGTATACAGACGGCTGGACAAGAAATATAGCCTACTGAAGGAAAAGGAGGCATTATGGACTGAAGATGTAAGTGTATATTTTCGTCTGATACGGATTCACGGCTTTGATAGAAATATTTCAATTCTTGTTTTTAGCCTGATAGTAACGTTACTGCTAAGTTCACTTTTGAGACTTCGACAATAAAGTCAGCACAGTTGCGATGGGCGTTATAAACAGTGTATATACACGAACGTTAAACCACCGTTATATAAAACACTTAATGTCAACGTTTCTAATTTCTGAATGTATGTATGGCCTTTTACGATAACGTTATTGTTTGCTTTGCTTGTGTTTTGGTCGTTGTTTAGCTAGCTAGCGTTAGCTAGTTAGCTAGGCTAAAGCCAAGCTGGCAAACAAACCCCAGTCAGGCTCTCCTTACGTCAAAATAACACAAGCTCGAAACTGACAGACAAACAGCTAGGCCAAAATCACTCGACAACACACTGTCTTTTATTCTGAGTGGTTGTCAGTTCATGGTTAGCTAGCATATCAGTGTGTGTCTGAATTTCACTCCTAACATCCGAATTAGTGATGGGAAAAACTGACAAATGCGTCCCACTGGTAACATAAGCTGTGTGGCTTTACAGCCTGTGGTCCGTCAGCCTGTATGACCTGTTAAGGAATATCAGTTGTAGGATCATACGTGTTGATACATTTTGTTACAAAAGTTGTTTGTTTTTTTGTCTAGATGGAGTCCAGCAGCTTGATTGGTGAATTACTGTCTCCTGAGTCGACGGTGACCTCACTACTTTCAAGCTCAGGTCACCTGAGGAGCAGCCTGCAGGCTTCTGAACACAACGCCACCTTTGGATATAAACACAAGGTTCACTCTGCTTTTAATGTTTCTACTGGTTTCTTCAGCAGTGATTACTGTGGAGAGGATATGCCTATCTTTATCCTCTGTCTTGTAATGATAACTGATCCAATTTTGACAGACAGTCATCCAGACAAAATGATGTTGCTATTTTGTAGACCAATGGAATGCAAATTGTAAATGGAAGTTCTGTACTGGGTTAGAGATAAAGAAAATGAGCATTGTAAAGATCAAAGGAATGGTACCTTTAAATTTCTGTTAATTTCTGAATGACTTCAGTGCTTCAAATTAAAATCCCTCCAGCTGCTTTACACTGCCCTGCAGTGATGCATCTAGGATTCCTGTCTTGCTGGCTGACAATTTTTTTATGATGCTGGACTGACTAAATTAAATTACACATGCTTATCAATTGATTAAATGCAGAACTATGACTCAGCCACAGCGGCGCTGGATGCCTACATTGCAGACTTTGAGAGAAGTCATCAGAACAGCGAGTCGTTAACAGGAAAACTGGTTCTGCCTCATAGTTCCCCCTCCACACCATGCAGACCCAGAGTGAGCACGCTCAGAAACAGAGATGGTAGGTCACCATATTCATCAAGTAAATAAGTTTATTTCATTACAGTGTGTATCAGGTTATCTGCATGTTATTGCCTTTATGTGTTTTTGTCTCCAAGTTCTTAGGGAGCGTTTGACAGACAGGGAGCTGGACTTCCTGAACCTCCCCGTCAGCTCCCTCCATCACCGCAGCAACCGAGACAGACTCTCAATGACGACAGACGAGCTGCTGTCTATCCCTTACGATGGCTCGATGCCCATCACTCACACCTCCGCCTTCATGCAAGGTCTGTTAACACATCACACACCTCCACCTTTATCTGAGGTCACTAAAAGTTTTACCCACACCACTGCCATCACATGAGGTCATTAAACATGCCACTCCCACCTCTACTTTCATCAAAAGTCTTACATCACCCATATCTCCGCCTATCTCAGTTCTTTGACTTGTCTCGTCTGCTGATCCAGGCCTCCTGTCCCGGTCTGGAGCCTCCCAGCCCTGCCCCTTGTCCAGACCAACACACAGAACCTGGGACAGACTCAGCAGCAGTCTTCCTGCTCCCCGACCGAACCATCGCCACCCTCATCCAACCAGGATGCCAAGGAGTTCCAGGTTCATGCTGTTGGCCATTATCTGTTTCATTTGGGACGTTTCTGAAAGATCTCTGTTCTGTCCTGTACAAGATCTACATTGCATTTCACATTTCATTACTTCCCCCTCCTGTCCAGGTGCAGAGAAAGACCAGAGGCAGCCATGTTGAATCCAAATGTTGATATCCCCTCAGTCAGCTGCTATAAGGTGACAATCATCAACATGTATTAGTGTTTTTGAAACTGACTCAGAGTAGGACTGTAGTGAACCTCTCTTCTCACTCCTTCTGTCTCTAGCAGTCTGCACACAGAGCGGGAAGGTCAGAGTGGGCAGAGCCATCTTCGTCCCTCCACCTCCCTCGCTGGTTCACCAGTAACAAGACAGACATGGACTGTTCAGGAATCACCAGCGTGGCGGACCTAAAGTACCCAGCCTGGATTCAATGGTGTGATATCAGCGAGCCACCGCCACTCACAGAGTCAGAACTGTGGGATGACCACGGTACAACACCACCTGCATGCCACCAACACACATTGCACATCCCTCTGTGTTACTGAACCCACTTGGCACTACAGCATTACTGTGTCATCTAATTAGCAAAAAGTATAAATATGAGAGTGCAAGAGCTTCAAAACAAAAATGGTGCAAATGTTTTCAGAATGTAGTCCCCAGCCCTGCCTGTTAAGAGCTACTGCCCTGCATATTTTGGGTCTCTCCCTACTTTACTGATTATAATAATCTGCTCATTATCAAGCCCCTGAAGCTTGTCAAGGGCTTGATAATGAGCAGATCATTTGAATCAGATGAGTAGAGTAGAGACCTAAAACATGCAGGGCAGTAGCTCTCCAGGAGCAGAATGTAGAAATGTAGACTAAGGGCCTGTGTCCACATTTTTTTTTTTCAGCACCAGTATCTTTTTTTTTATGTTTGTTTTTTCCAATTGTTCCCAAATAAGGAGCGAGCGCACGCAGCCGCCTGGAGAACAAGAGGTTTTTTTTTTGTTTGTTTGTTTGTTTGTTTTCTCAGAGTGCTCCGCCTTTTCTGTGCAACTGCTCTGAGCTCTTTAAGTTGAAAATCTGAACTTTTCAGAAAGGCACTGGTGATGTCACTGCCGCTTCATTTGCAGGGCTACTGTGTACTGTTAGCCTGGAAATCCAGACCCAAATCTAGAAAGATTTAGGGTCTGGCTATGAGTAATGTAAATGGCCCAACTCTAGGGGCGGCACCAAGTATGCATTTGTAAATATCACTGCTCTCAATTGGATAACACTACTACCAATCAGAACAATACACTGTGTGACGTATTCATTTTGCTACCAGTGGAGCTAACTGGTAGATTAGACTCTTGCCGTATCCGGTCGGCAAAACAGAAAAAATGTCCTTCTTGCAAAGGAAAGATTCGAGCACCGTCTTCTGTTCCTCTTTTAGAGAAAAAGCCAAGTCTAACTCGTTCATTGTAGCGGCCAAAGCCGTTTCAAACAACTGGTGTTCATCCGTAGCCATCTTGCATTGTTTACTGACTGATTCCGGTCTTCGTCGTCGCAGCGCTGTCTTCATCTGTTTAGCTCGCCTCTGGCCCGCCTATATCAGATACACTTATGTGATTGGTGCATCTTGGTTTCATGGGCATAGGTAATGAGCATCATTACTGATTGCCAGAGTGACTTGCTGAGCAAATTCAAATTGTGCTCTCGCGAGAACTCTGGATTTTCAGGGTAATGTACTGTCTCAACAAAGACAGAAAAGCTCATTTTTTGGGAGCAGGCTGTCACTGGATGTTGCTGGTGGGTGCTGTGCCTTTATTACAGCTGGCTTTGTAAGCTTGAAGTTGACTGTGTATTCAATCCTCTGTTAATGTAGGATCACATTAGCTATCTGGCTGATGTTAGTGTCAAGATATTGTTGTCGTAGAAACAAATCCCATGCGCAGCACGTCATTAAAAAAGCACTGTGTTGAAACGCTCCCCAGTGCTCTGCCAGCGCTTTTTCGCTGACAAAAAAATGCTATGTGGACACGGGCCCTGATGAACTAACAGCATACAAAGCTAGATGTCTGTATCCTTCTTTAGTCTTTCCAAAACTGAAAATTGTAAGGAAAGAATCAGAAGTGTTTGTCTGCTTTAACATAAGTTGCATTTGTTTGCATATCCAGCTAAGTAATTTACTAACAGTAGTAGAGTTGGGGGGCCGCACTAGTGTAGTGATTAGAGTACTGGGCTTCCATGTGGAAGGTCCAGGTACTAACCCTGGTGGGGTCAACATCAGCAAAGTCATGCAGTCGCAAGAGGTTCCCACTGCTGAATCATTTGGGATCAGATTAATCTGAACCAAGTCCTCAGCAAGTGCGAGTCTCAAGCCTGTTGTAGACAGGAAGCTCCAGACACAAAAGCAGATTCAGTAACTGATAGAGTTGGGCAATATGTTTAAATTTTCTAACAGCAGTCAGCCTGACAACTGGTAATTGCCGATATATTCCTGCAGGTGTGTGTGCAACACGCTTTGTTAACTCATCATAAAACACACTAAATTCAAACTTGACAGAGACAAAATAAAACTTAAACATAAAACTCAAAATTGCCTTTGATCATCATTACACTGTTTCAACATTTGGTCTGGTTTGGTTGAAATAAACCCTTAATTCACAGAGTTAGATGTAAAAATATGCTGACTCTACATGTTTTTTTCCCAGCTGTTTCTCTCTGCCATACTGGACTCCTTGTGCTACTGCATTAGCTCGCTGAACAAGAGCCTGTCACTGAGTAGCCAGAGCTATGTCTGCACTTTGTTTTAGCACTGTGCCAGCTGCCTGCTGAACAGGCAGACCAATACATTAACAAAACAGAAGGAACCCCCACCCCCCCAACCAGTCGATATAGTTGTCTAGTCGTCCCAACCCTAATAAGTGACCATTAATTCCAAGGCCAAGGAGCACATCATTAACTAACTGCATTAGTTCCTGGGAATTTTTACATGAAAAAAGTCCACTTCAAAACAAGCCCATCCACTGTGTAGTATGTTCCCATTTTATTGAAGCTGGTCCTGTGCTGTGTTCTTTGGACTGGGATAACCAAGGTATCAAGAGTAGAATGATGACATGAGTCTGGAGTTTGTGGTTCTTCAAAGCTGGTCTAAAACTCACCCAAAACTGTTTTCAGAGCAGAAATGAGAAGCTGCTTTTGTCTTTTTTTTAATGCCAGTAAAATGTGAGCAGTCACTCTGCCACAGTTATTGTAAACTGCATATGTGCTGTGCAAGAAAAGAAGCTTGACAGGCATAACAGGTAGTAAGAGGGATAGGGCTCAACTAACAGACCATTGCGAGTATAACATCATCAAGAAAAAGCAAATAATACTAAGCAAATAGCAAATAATACTAATAACTTTCCCATTAAAAAATTATTAATGATGTGGAATATTTTTACTATCAAGCAATCGTTCTGCTCTTTGTTGTTGCTCTTCCAGGTGTTCTTCCACCTGTATCTCCCAGAAGAGGAGCTCCATCCTGGGTGGCGGAGCTGGAGGATGAAGATCCCGACCAGACACTTGCAAAGGTGAGAGAACAGAATCAAAGTGTGAACTTTTCAGTTTGATCAGACGGCAGCTCATGATGTCTGATGAACTGTTTCTGACCTGAAAAAGGATGGCAGAATTGTCCTGAGTCAAGAAAACGTGTTTAACACTTTTCTTATACAGGTGGAGGATCTAGACTCATTTATTTTTCATGATGTGTGACAAAATAATCCCTCCTCAATGTCACCTTACTGGCTGTTACGGAGCTTTCAGCTGCATCTCACAGTCTTCATTAGTAGCGGAAGCTGGCTCAGGTGTCATCATGTGACTTAACTAACTCAGAGTTTTTTACTAAACCTGCTTTCTAAAAAAGGGCCCTGGTGTTCTTCACCACTGTTTTGGAGAAGGAAATAACAGGTTAACAAGGGGTCTGTTTTCTTTTTTAAACGAGTGTTGTGCGGTCGATTTAATTTATAACAATGTGAAAAGCGGTTCATGTGAATTTCGAAAAGTAACTGCTGAAAGAAATTTAAAGTATTAGATTTGAGGACAGAATTTGATGTGGCGGTAGGTGCTACAATGACTGTTGTTTCAGCGCATCCCGCATCCCCTGGCCCATCCACCAGGGCAAAGTCAACCTAGGGAAAACACTTAGTAGTTAGTATGTATACATGCACAGTTAAGTAGAGCTAGAGTCATAGCTCAAATAGGCCATTTAATTGGACTACAATCCTTGTCCCAGTATACAAGCACGGGAGGGGAATCGATTCATTGACTGAAGTATGTCCAGTTGCGCTACGATAGGTGGTGATATGCTCCCTTTCAGCTTGTTATGATTGGACCTGCTCTGGATGTAGATTTCACCATGGTGTTATCGGCTTCTTCCTCTATTATGCATTTAATGCTATTCAACTTCTGGGTCAAAGCCCAGGGTAAAAACTGTAGAGCAGTAGAGCCAGTTTGGGTCCAATTGACTGTATACAATTCAACTCCCAATCCCATTATCTGGGTGCGTTAGTCCGACTTTGAGAAATTTGATTTAGTACGATTTCAGTTGGACTAACATGTTTACATGTATTTTAAAAGTCCTGTTTTAGTCAGACTACCACAATAAATCGATTTTCTCTAATGTCATGTAAACACACTGTAACGAGCTTAAAAAAAAAATCCCTCTCTTCCCTCCTGTGCTGCCGTCTCATGTAGCGTCGCCTGTTACCCCTGGCCACCCATGGCCTTAAAAGATGACGTCACGCAGCGTCTCAAAAAGAGAAAGAGGCACAAGTCTACTCTGGTTGACAGAGAAGTATCTCACCCGTTTAGTCCGCACCCTGCAGCAGCTCAGGCAAAAAGCTGAGGTAGCTAGTCCCTCGTATTTCCTCTGCCACTACGGACGGAATGGATAATCCATACCGGAACGGACAAAACAGAAAAACGCATACCGAAACAATCATCAGCTGATCATTACCCCGGTTGTCCCTTCTCCACTACATTCATTCACGCATGGTGTTTGGTTGATCAATTTTATTTATTTGAGGTTGTATAAGTGTGTTATTTGTGCATCCTTTGTGTTGGTTTTTGTTCCCTTGAGTTGACTAAAAAAAAAGGTAATATAAAATAAAATAGTCACTCAATAAAACTGTCACAACACTGACTGAAAAAGCATGAAAGTACCTTTAAATAGAGATTATTTTGTCACACACTACTGTTCCCAGTGTGAAGAATGACCTTGCACGCCCAGATATTTAAGTGATTATCTGTGTGTTTGTTTGTGTTGTCAGGGTGATAGCCAGCAGACTCTCAGAGATCTGAGGCTTCAGTTTGCTGAAGAGATTTCTCTACTCGCTGCAGAGAGAAACAGCTCTGACGTCATGGAAACTCTGTTCAGAGGTAGAAAGACAAATTGTTGTACATCAAATGTGTTTTATAGGCCCACAGTTATGTTTTTACTGTTTGTGTTTTTCCTCCTGTCAGACAACAGGATTGAGTCTCTGATCCAGAAGGCGGACCAGGTGTTGAACCGTCTGTCTCAGAGTTATGGAGGAGCAGACTGTCCCGCAGATCCAGGTGAGACCAGGACTCAACCCAAAGACACAAGGTTTCTCAGTTTCTCCTCCTACAGTTGTAAGCAACAAAGCTAATGTCTAGGACATAACAGACACAGGCAGTACCAAATGAGCACACACACTGCTCAGATAACATAAACAAATCACAAACAAGTTGTTGTAAAGGTTTGCTTGGAGCTTGTTCTCCATCTCATATCAGCTTGATGTCTGCAGCAGGACAATTTTCCAAAAAGGTGCTCGTTGCGCTACATTGTCCTGATCACTGTGAAGCAAACAAAACAATAAATACAGTTCATGTCCAAGAAGAGTAAACTGAGCAACAAGGTAACACTGGTGGCTAATTCAAACATACTCAACGCAGCTGCTTTACAGTAAAAAGCTTCCAGCTGCAGTTTATCTAAGGAAGCAAAGCGACGTCATTGTGTGGCTTTCACTGTGAAGCTTGATTTATATATTTATTTATTGCATTTTCCCTTGTTTAGATGGTAAACAGTATACTACGTACAAAGAGATAATATAAGAAGAGAGAGGAGGGGGTTAATGTGCAGCCAGAGTCCGTGCTCAGAGTCAAAATTTGGGTGTGGCAGTTTTTACAGGCTAGAACACCTGAAGATTGATTTACACATCTGTATTAAGGGATAATTACACTGTAGCTGTGTAGCCTCACATGTATCTTACCTAAGCCTTGTTTCCACTGCACAGTATGGCACAACACAGCTCAACTTGACTTGCTTGGAACTGTTCTTTTTTTTTTTGTCTGTTGGCCAAAGTTGTTGCAAGTTCCTGGTACTTTATTTTGTACCACCTTGGCCGAGGTTTCAAGTGCGCTGATGCTAGAAGGTGGAGTTAAATCACTACAGACCACTTACTGTACAGAAAGAATAGACACTAGCATGACACAGGACATCCTGCACAAACCCATTATTTTTAAATTACAACGCTACCATAAATCATGGCCACAATCTTTTTGTGCAGTCAGATTTATAAAAATGGCAGCTCAAAAAGCTAGACAAAATGATCAATTGACAAAGTGCAGACATTCCTCTGTTGGGTTGCAGATGAAAGAATTCAGTGAGAGCTGCATGGAGCAACGTGGTCTTTGTTGCATTAAAGATGATGTCACCGCAGTTTCATGCAGAGTATGTCACAATAATTTCATGTGGCATCGCTGAAACAAACAGCTGAAAATTCCGCATACACTGATGGGGTATGATCTGCAGTGGAAAACCAAATAGAGGAAAGGACCTGGTTCCAAAAGTGAGGCAAGTAGAGTCAAACCATGCAATGGAAGTAACGCATTAGCTGACATGCACCTCTCCAAACGCTGGGGCTGCAGCCTTGGAGAGAAGATGTCCCTCCCCTTCCAGTGTCCCTCATTGGACCTTATTTCAGAAAAAAAATATGTACAGTAGTCAACGGTAAAGACAGCTAACTTTTTTATGCCTTCACACCAGCGATAGCTATGGCCAGAGGCATTATGTTTTCGGGTTGTCCGTCCGTCCGTCCGTTCATTCGTTCCATCCTTGTGAACACGATAGCTCAAGAGCACCTAAAGGGAAATTCTTTCTTTCTTCAGATTTTCTTTCTTTCTTCAAATTTGGCACAAATGGCCACTTGGACTCACCAATGAACTAATTAGTTTTTGGGAGTCAAGGGTCAAATGTCAAGGTTGCGGTGACCCTGTGTGTCTCATTTTCGTGAATGCGATATCTGAAGAACAGCTCGAGGGAATTTCTTCAAATTTGGCACGAACATTCACTTGGACTCAGTGATGGACTGACTAGATTTTGGTGGTCAAAGGTCAAGGTCAGTGTGACCTTGTATCTGTGTCATTCTTGTGAATGTGACATCTCGAGAATATCTTAAGGCAATTTCTTTAAATTAGACACAAACATCCATGTGGACTGAAGAATAAACTGATTAGAATTTTGTGGTCAAAGGTCAAGGTCATTGTGACCTCACAAAATGTGTTTTTGGCCAGAACTCAAGAACTCATATGCTAATTATGACAAACTTCACACAAATTTCTAATCGGATAAAATAATGAAGTGATGACATTTTATATCCAAAAGGTGAAAGGTCAGCTTCACTGTGACATCACAATGTTATGCAAAAACACTTTTCTGGCCATTACTCAACGTTATATCCCAAGAACAGAGAAGGAAATATTTGGTCAGATACTTAATTGGTGACTCTAAGCTTGGGTGTCCACCTTAAAACAGTGCTGACTGTATAGATCTTCTGTGCTGTCAGGGGGAGATGGGTGTGAGGCATCCATGTTTTCACAGACATGGCTGTGAATAAGAAAAACTTAACTGGAGCGCAGAGGCTTACAACTACAGGGTGGTAATTCTAGTTTCATGCCAAGACAGTCACAGATTGTCTTGTGAAACCACTCGGTAAACTTTATCTCTTGTCTTGCATGATATATGTCACAAACACCAGCTAGCTTGCTAGGTAATTTAGCTGTGTTCCACAAACAAATGTGTAATTGATGGCACAGATCAAAGGGGAACAAAAAAAAAAATGTCTCTCCATCACTTGCCGTACCTGCCTATGGTGGTTCACCAGAAGGGGAGGGATGTCACTTCTTTATGGAGATACCACATACAGACTGGAAAAGCTATGATAGGCCAGTTTGAGCATCTTGTGTTTTCTCATACAAATTTATGATGCTTGTAGATGTTGTTGATAGCAGGGAGCTGGTTGAAGACAGGCTCAGTCCTCATTTTCAGTCACACTACAGCAGTGGAAAGCCATTCCCACTACAAACCTGTACATTTTCACTCAGTATTACAGTGAATGAAGGAATGTCAAAACTACATGACCGTGAAGCAGCTTAGAGCAGAATACATATACAGATGTGTCTGTTAGCCTTGTGTTGTGTTGTTTGATGCAGGTTTGTTTGTGTCTAAATGTGCTGGCCATTGGTTTCTGTCACAATCAGAAAGACAGTAGCAGTAAAATCTTTATCATAACACCAACACTGCATCAAAGGAGTTTATCACATACTGTGTCCACATGGTGCTGTCTTGTTCTTAATGAATATCTGTTGTTGTTGTAGTCAGTCCTACTGATCATGTTGAGGAAGCTGTCAGTCCAGTGAACACTGAGGAGCTGCTGCTCTGTTCCTCCTCACACTGTCCTCCATTCACTAGGTAAGACTTATTGACAATCCCTTTTTTCTTAGTTCTGTTGCACCATGACTAAACTCACTGAATGATGTGTGATTGAACCTGCAGGGATTCAGCAGCAGTTGCAGGGGGCTCTACAGAGGCTCTGACTGACAGAAGAGCTCAGGTAGGTGTTACTGTGTCCTCCTTCTCTCATCACCTTTCACTGATCCACTGTATTAACTTTATTGTTAACTTTTATTTTGCAATATAAAAATCATAATGAAGTAAATTGAATGATTAGCAACAACTGAAGTGAACAAGGGTAAGTTAAGTACACAGTGACCCTGCAAGATGGATAAGATGGCTTACAAGGGAAAACAATTTGCTTTTGGCTGGGTAATGTGAACCCCACTCACTGACTTCACTTATGGATAAACACAAGCAAAATCCAGATTTTTAAAGTTCAAAATTTTATTCAATAATGAGTACAGGCAGGGGGTTACAGCACAGGCACATGAATGATATCGTTATCGACTGATCACAAGGATGTTAACAGGTAAGGGCGATTGATGATTGACTTGACTGACATATGGTTTCTGAAAAATAATAGAAAAATAAAGGGATGAAAGCAAAAGGCTTTCACCATAAATGTAGCCTTAATGGCACAAATGAATCACACTGACTTTAAATAATGGTCATAATACAGTATGAGGTTAGAAACAAGGTGCTAAAATGGCATTAATAGGTGACTATTGCTGGGATTAACATTTGTGAATATTAATTTACTGAAATCAATTTCTGATAACTGCTAATGTTTCAGTACACTTAGCAACATGAATAGTGACAAATGACAACACATAGTGAGTGTCCTGCATCAGAAACAAATGAATGAAATAAGGAATAGTGACATGGCACACAATCCTGACAGTGTGTCAGTACAGCGCATAATAGACAAGTGAAATTCAGCAGGCAATAATCAGCCTCCTCGTTCCCAAGGGCAAACAAAACGTTAAAAGTGGACTTATATAGGCAAGCACTCATCGGATCAGTCAATATGTTTAGAGGATTAGATGAGATGGAATAACATGAATCACAGCCCTCAGATGCCTCCTCCTTATTCATGGCTGTATTCAGGGCATCGTGCACATCCAGGCAGTTTTTATTGAGTGCACAATGAACGGGAGCGCGCCGTGAGACAGCCGCGTTCAGAGGAGACGGAGAGAATTCTTCCCAACAAGATCAACATCTCTCCATCGTGAAGCTGTTTCAAACATTGTACAACCGAGGTATCTATAAACATCTATAAAAAAACGTGGTCATCAACAACCTTCAATATCATCATCATCATCACTATCACCATCACTGTCAATCATCACATAATCATTACAAGAATAACAACCACCCAAGAGAGTAGCATCAGTACTAAGTTAGACTCTTCCATTGCCCAGCATTCAAAAGAGATTACAGTAGGGATGCAAGAGTAGTTATATCTGTTACTCTCAGCAGGGGGAAATCTGTGCTGAGAGCCAAAAGGCAAAAACTGAAAGTCAGAGAATAAGGAGTGGGAGCTGTCGGAAAGGATGACTTTAGCCTTTCTTCCTATCTGTTTTTGAAACAGGACAGATAAAGTACTCTGCTGAACTCCAAAGATCTTGCTACTCATTTTCATTATACTACTTAGTGCATTTTTGGTCTTGATGTTGAGATTCCCAAACCAGCAGAGACGAGAGAGGGTCAAGACAGGATAATAGGATAATAAGAGACTTGCTGACATGAAACCAAGATATTTATAGTTTTCTCCAGAGTCAACTACTTGTCCCTTGATGATGGTTTTTTGAGAGGTTGAAGGGTTATGCCTAAATTCAATACAATAATAAATTCAATGTCCTTATTTTTTTTAACATTTAGTGACACCAGTCTACAAATTCATCAACTGCAGATTAATGTTTGTTTTCATCGGCATGGAGGAGACTAACTATTATGGAGTCGTCAGAAATTTAAAAAAATAATCTGTTTGTTGTCATGCCATCTGCAGCAGTTGTTGGTATAAAAAATGTAGAGGACAGGGAAAGGACACAGCCCTGGGGAGCCCCATTGGATGATATAAACTCCCTGGACATGCATCCATTCATCCTCAGTCTCTGTGTTCTGGATGGTAAAAATCAAACTTGGTTTCACATGTGGTTCCTACGACACGTACTAGGGATGACCCAAATGCTTCCATCATTTCCATGGTAATCAATTTCCAAATCAGTACTCCAGTGCTCTGTTTTTCTATACCATTACCCCATAAACTCAAATGGCTCATAAATTAAGAAATGGTAATTCAAAAGAATTCATTATGCATCAACATTAATTATTAGTTATTCTCAGACAAGGACATTTAAATTTAGTGAGAGGTCTAGTTTTGTGACTCTGACAGTTTGACGGCCAGTGACGGCCTTACAGATACAGTGGTCGGAAAAGTCAACCATCCGGAATAGTTTCGAATCTACAAAGAAACTTGAGTGCCAGATATGCCAAAGGAAACTAATCTACAACCAGCTAGGCAAATCACCTGAAATCTGTAACAGCGCAGCCATCTTGCATAGCATTCGTTTTTTTAGTTATTATGGCAAATGAGAGCCTGACCTGGGTGCTGTACACGGACTCAGCAAAGCAGAGTGTTTTACCTGAGATGCCTGAGGAAATTCTGGGTACCCCCTCAAATACTGAGGAATTTGTGTGGGGCTAAACATGGGGCCCCTTACCAAACAAAAATGGGCCTCTTAGGCAAAGTCTTCCCATACAGTGAGCTTCCTCATCCAAATATTATTGATAAAAAGAAAAAAACACAGGTACCTTTTAGCCTACTACCTAAGTGAGATGCATGTTTTGTTTTGTTTTTTTTTTAACAAAGATGAGCATTTCTGCCTTGTTGCAGCTCATTCTATGTCTCTTCTCATCTAAGATGTGAGACTGAGCTGAACAGCCACTCACTCTCCATGGTTTTGCATGAAGCACTTAGGTTTTTCTGCCAGTGCTGGAAAACGGAGGTGATTATATTTCCAGTATCCAGTCTCTTTTCTGGAACGGAGCCTCTGCAAAGAAACATCTCACAAACTGTAGCTGATCTTTTTCCAAGACAGTGTGATACTCCCACAAGGCCAACATTTTCTTTCACTTTTATTTGAAACCAAACCACACATGGACAAGGCACCTTTGGCCCTCTTACATCATGCCAGAGTTGTGTCCAGCCAGTGAATTCTTCTCTGAATTAGCAGCTAGCACAACATTTAGCCTGCTTAAAATACATGCAAAACAACAGATAAACATCTGCCACTGCAATAGGTGAATGTTATCTTGTAGGCCTATGGCAGTCAACAAGGCAAACATCAGCCAATATTGATGTTCAGCCGATAAATCGATTCACCTCCATTAATGATCCTCTGAAAGTGCCTCCTTCTGTTTGCTGTCTCTCCCAGGCTTGGAGATCTGGCCTCCATGGAGACAGCACCTTTAAGCAGCCTGGTCCCGTGGAGGCTCTGAAACAGATGCTGTTCAGACTGCAGGCAGTGGAGGCAGAGCTTCAGCGACAACAGCAGGCATCAGCAGCTCCAACACTCACTGACAGGCTGCAGACAGTTGAGGTCAAACAAGTATGAACCAGCACCAGCACCAGTCTGACCAGAAGTGTGCTCAGTAAGGCAGCATGTTTGGGAACAAGTGTTGCAGGAAAAATATAGCTTGTGTTTGAGATTAAACAAACACTAAATAGGGTTTATTCATTTATTCATCATTCGCATAGGGCACCTGAACAAATGTCAGGGCTTCACTGTCAACATTCAGCTGCTTTTTGAGCAACAAACCTAACTCTGTATTGTTACATGCTTTGTATATATAGAATGTTAATAAGTCTCTGTTTGCAGCCGAGGCCTGAAGGTGAAGCAAAGCTGGAGAGTTTTCCAGGTGGACCGTCACTACAGAGGTAACTGACACTGAACACATCACATACCCGATTTGTCACATCAGCATCAACATTAGAGTTACTGAGTTGTTGTCACTTATCCCGTCAAATAAATCTCAAAATCTTTGTAATGGACTTGCACCAAACGTGTACAGCCTCAGCTGTACTTTGCTATGTTTCAGCTGCACTGCTAAAGTAAGATGATGAACAAGTTAAACATTATTCAGACTAAACATCAGCCTTCTAGCATTGTTGTGAGCATATTATTATGTTGATGTTTAGCTCGAAGCACTGTCCTGCCTAAGTATAACCTTACAGAGCTGCTAGCATGGCTGTAAAGTTAGGAATATTGTTTTTGACGAATATTTCCATTCTCAGAGCTCTGCATCACCTGAGCCATCTGAAGGTTTTGGTGGAAGAACCCAGAGAGAAACGCACAGAGGAAAAAGAAGAGAAGGGTGCAGAGGAGAAGGATGAAGATGAAGGACGGTATTCCTCTTCTTCTGCTGACGGGCTCATCTGCGCTCAGCAGAAACCCTCCTGACGCTAAAGGCTTGTTTACAAGAGCAAAGAGGCTTCCTGTCAGTGTTCTCACTGTCATCTAGTTAGTGTTTCCTGTCACGTCCAGCAGCAAAAGGAAGCAGCAGATGATTCTGGATGAAGTCTGCTCTGGAATTTTATTTTAGGTGAAAAAATGCAATTCATGTAAACACTAACAGTGCAGAGGCTAAACCAGACTCATGGGGAAATTCAGGAAATGTGTGTTGAAGTTATGTTAAGTGTTAACAGTGAAGGATGCTGTGAAACTTTGAGTGCAGTTTTTAACCACCATAACAGAGATGGAAAATAACCATTGTCCATGAAAGGAACAGTCTAGAACAGAGTCAAATGAGAATGGTTTCAATACATCTTTTTTACATTTTTTTTAAAAGATGTAACTTGTAAATCAGACAGCTTCAAAGTTTTGAGGTTGGATATTTTTTGTATTTAACGGAGCGAGGCCCCTGCTTCCAGTCCTTGTGCTAATGCCCAGAACCTATTTCTGCATTGTACACGGAGCTGAAACTGTTACCCATCTTTTCATCTAGCTCTGTAGAAGTCACAAAATGAGAGGCTTTATCTTAATGTCACAGTGTTGCTCTTTAAATGCCAAATGAGAATGGAGCTCTGCAAAGTTTCATCAGGCTCCCTCTGAGAGAAGAAATGACCAGAAAGACAAAATGTCAGCATCTTACTGCATACTTACTGCACTCATACTGCAAGCACCTGTTCAGCTGCTGAGGAAGTGAAAGTGTCCAATTGACAAGTGAATGTGCCAATATGAAAGGGTTATACAATGTCTAGTTGTTTGTTACTGTACTGAAAAGCTAACAGCAAGACTCTGGACATGGCAGGGTCACAATGCTAGTTGGACAGCTTTAATATTCATTAGCATGTTAGCATGTGCTATCAAGCAAACATGCAAAGTACTAATTCTAAGCATGTTGAATGTGTTAGCATATTAACCTGCTTATTTTTTTTGTTACAATAACATGTAACTTGCTAAATGTTAGCATGTTAACATCCAATGCCGTTTATGACATGCTAACTTGAGCATTTCAAAATATAATGTTAACATGTCATCTGTAACTGAAGCCATATTAAGTTAACATTCGCATTTGAACATACCAGCATTAGCATATTATAATGCTTAATATTACATGTTCATGTTAGCATGTTACCCATGAATAACAGTAAATGTTACATGTTGTTAAATGTCATACAAACTTTAGCATGTTAGCATGTCATAATGCTAAATAATACATGCTCAAATGTAGCATATTATACTGCTAAAAACTAGAATGTTACATAAGAATTTTTAAAAAATGAGTGTCCAGCGTACTCACAATGAAAGTCCATGGCTTCTTTGGCCACTGTACAGAGGATAATGCTGCGTTCACATTGTACAGGATTTACCACTTTCTGGGATTAATGGGTAAAGTGCTGAATTGAATGTACACTGTATTTTTATTCATCGTTTTTTCACCATCCAATTATGTGAATATTCACAGGCCGTAGACATGGGAGTCTTTCCCATGTCTACCATCCATCAGATATGATGTGAACACAACAGAAACACTCTGTCCTCTGGACAAACCTCAACAAGTCAAGTATTGTATTTACTGGTGTGTTAAGATTATTGCAGCCTCACACTGTTGTGCCTACAGACTCTTAGCCTTGTTCCGACTTTATGAAATACTCAGTATGATTTGGAGAGGAAACAGAAAATTAGATTATTGATCTAGCAGTATTTTTATTCACATTTTTGTCTTTCAGGTGATGAAGACAGACTATCAGGTTTTTCTCTCCTGCCTTAAAGTCGAAACCACTTAAGTGCCATATCAGCATTTGGGCAGACAGATGACCTAAACATGAGCAGATATTTATTTTGTACCAGATGTGTGTTAATGGTTAACACAGAGTGTTTTTATTTCCATGTAGCAGCCTTCTCTCTGGTTGCTCTGAGATGATTTGTCCTTAAACAGTTCACAATAAAGCATATCTTGCTTTATACCTTCATGGTGTCAGCTCATTTTTAGATTTATTTGTTTTCTCCTTGAAGTGTGGTGAAAGTTAGTGGGAGGCCAAAGAGGACATTCATCTCCTGTGACTGGTTTCCATGAAGTTAGGAGCCTTGTGAAGGACAGTTTTTAGACAAAATATAAGCAGCAGGAGCCGAAATATCCTGACTGTTAGTTCCTGTATGGGTCATGCTCTAAAAACACTGGATTCTACATTTTTTAATTTCCCTCCATAGCATTGTTTTGTTAGACACTCTCTGCTTTATAAGAAAATACTCCTAGTTTGTAATGCAGTATTTTAGTTATTAATTTGATGTCTTCCAGATAACCCTAATGACATCAAGGTTATGTTTATTTTCTTGACAAAGCTCCTCAAGGAGTACTAACCATGATCAGCAAACTGAACTTCAGGCGTGAAGTCTGTGGACTGCCCTTTAAGTGTCCATAACCACATATTTTTATAATGTATGAAAAGTGAAGGCTCTGTCTCTTGTGACAGTAGTACACATCAGCAGAGGTTTGGACTCTTGTCACAAATTTGACAATTTTAGCCCCAATTTGAGAAAAACAAATGAGACTCCATTGGACTTTAACACCAATAACTCGATTTAATTTGGACTTGAGCCTTTTGGCTTGAAAATATTTGATACCTTCCCCCTATGCTCAAAGATTAAAAAGTCAGATATTTAAAAAGTGTGCCACAAATCAATACATTTTCTACTAACCTTAACACTTTTCATTTCCAGCAAATTGACACCAAGATAATTCACTTTGTTTAAACCAATCTGACGGCATCCAAGAAAGCTGCAAGAGAGAACTGTGAAGAACTGTCGTTACGTTACTGAGTGCCAGTTGGAAAAAATGACACCAAAGATAACTTTGTTGGTGTGCAAAAACTACACAGTAGTCAACAAAAACTGAATCGCAGTATGAAATATACAGACATCGACAGAACAACTTCCAACAAAATTGTTTGAACAAATACAGTTCGGTTTAGGACTAGATGTTACAATCCCTTGATGCACATACAGTACTTGAGACTGTAAGTGGGAGTGAAAGTGCCCTCGGGGGTCCGAGTTGGAGCCAAAGGGTTAGATGGATAGAAAAGTAAGAAAAGAGCATAGGTAGATAGAAAAATAGGAAAGAGTATAGGGAAGGCGGAGCCAAGAAGAGATGTCTCTGAACAGAACTCTCCCCTGTTGTCTCTGTGGCCATTTATTCTACCTCCCCCTACTTCCTCACTTTGATGAGGGAAGAGAGAGAGGAAACTAACAGGAGAAAAAAGTGCTTAACTTTAATTGAGATGGAGTTTAACTGGTTGATTGTTGCGACACATATTTGCGATTGTGAGTGATAGTTGGAGCCATGCTGAGGGTGGGGGTTTCACTGGTGTTTTGATGATAGGCCCACAACACCCCAGAGGGCTTGTCATTCTGCTTTTATTCCCTTGAACTCTGATTTGTTAGTGGTATTTCAGGGCCCAAGTGGTGTCTCTCCTAATTAATAGCCACTGGCTTGCCTGTATAGCTGCACCAGAGAGGGCTTTGATGGCCTGACGTTGGGCTTGGCCTCAAATTCCCATGTCTTTATGCAGCCTGGTAGTTGCCTTGCCTACCGAGCCTCTGTAGCCCTCTTTAACTGGGCAAACCTTTGCTTTCCAGCCGCATTGCTCAGTGTCAGCTACAGGCTCAGCGTAGTTAAGGCTCTTGTGCTCGTAGGCCTCCTCCACAGCATCCTCCCAGGGCAGTCACCTCAATGATGTAGATGAGGTGCAGAGAGGAGAGACAAATTTTGAAAAGCATTCATGATTTTTCTAGACTTAATATATTATTACTCTGTTGTTAAAATGGTATTAAATGAAAGGTGTTCAAGGTAAATGTTCTTTGAGAAAATGTTTATTTCCCAGAGTAAGCCATCAATAAAGAATCATGTTGGTATAGATTCTAAAACTCTAAAAGGTGTTGTATCTGTACTAGTGTCAACAATTTGTGTGAGGGAACTTCATGATTGCCACAAGGAAGCAACATTTTAAAATGTGATCATCAGCTGGTTTCACTTCAGTTTTTCATTTTCTTTCAGTCACGCCCAGACGTTAATCATCCCATCACTCCCTGCTGACATCACAGTCTCTCCTTTGTGGTCGAACCTCACGCTCTGCACACCATCACTGTGTCCCTCCAGGCTGCTCACCACGCCAGAATCCACCTCCACCACTCTGACCAGACTGTCAGAGCTAGCGGCAGCCAGCGTCTTCCCTGACGGACTGAACGCCACCTGGTTAGCAGCCAGCGGCCCAGTGTCTACTGTGGCCAGTGCCAACGCAGGATTCCTGTTGTCCCACAGGTTGATGTTGCCACGGGAGTCACAGGAGGCCAGGATGCTGCTTGCCGAGCTGAAAGTGGCATGGTTGCAGGGATGCTGGTGTCCATGGAAGGTTGTGGTGCAGACACCCAGTCTGGCATCCCACATGGCAAGGGTTTTGTCAGCGGAGCAGGTGAGGAGGAGGTTGGAGAGGGGCAGGAAGCAGACGCTGTTGACAGAGGCAGTGTGGCGACGCAGTGTGAGGCGGCAGCGCTGGCTGTTCAGGTCCCACAGCTTGGCAGTTCTGTCAGCAGAGCAGGAAGCCAGGAAATGACCACAGGAGTGGAAGGAGCAGCCCCAGGTGGGCTGGGTGTGACCAGGCAGCGTCAACACACAACAGCCACGGGAGAAATCCCAGAGCCGCACCTGAAGGAGGAACGATTAGAGAGTTAAGCATAAAACAAGAAGATCATGGAAACAGAAAAAAAACACTAATATTATGTTGGTTTTACATAAACCTGTCGCCCAGCTGTTCACTGTTGCAGCAGTATATTGTGAGTTTTAGTGTGATGAAGATGAACTCACTGTAGAGTCTCCACTAGTTGTTGCCAGTTTTGCTCCATCAGGGTGAAAGCTGCAGCCCGACATCCAATCAGAGTGACCCTCGCCTGTCAGTACCATCTGACCAACCTGGCAACATACATTACACAACATTACATTTTAGTACATCGGCCAGTCAGAGCGAGCCTCAACCATCAACAGTATTATGTGATTTAGTTGACTCCTGTTTCTAATGACACTGCAGCCTGAGGCATTATGTGTACGGGTCGTACGTCCATCCCTCTCTTGAATGTCATATCTCAGGAATGTCTTGTTGGAATTTCTTCAAATTAAGCGAAAATGTCCACTTTGACTCAACAATGAACAGATTAGACTTTGGTGGTGATAGGTCGAAGGTCAAGGTAACTGTGACCTTGCAGCCTTCTAATTCTTGTGAACAGGATATCCCAAGAACACCTTGGGGGAAATTCTTCAAATTTGGCACAAACGTCCACTAGGACTCAACGATGAACTGATTCGAATTTTGTGGTCAAAGGTTACTGTGACTTTGCGCCGGCCCATTCTCTTGCACATGATATCTCCCAAGTGCCTTTAGGGAATTTCTTTTCTTTAAATTAGGCGTAAATGTCCACTTGGACTCAGTAATAAACTGCTTTAATTTTGGTGGTCAACAGTCAAGGTTACTGTCACCTTGTAGCCATCTCATTCTCGTGAAGCCATATATCTCAATAACACCTTCAGGGCACAAACGTCAACTGATTAGAATTTTGTGGTCAAAGTCAAGGTCACTGTGACCTTGTGTCCGTTTCATTCTCGTGAATGCAGGATCTCAAGACTGCATTGAGATTTTCCTCAAATTTGGCACAAATTTGAACCATGTCAAAGGTCAAGGTCACTGTGACCTCACAAAGCATGTTTTTGGCCACAGAATAAAACAGAATAAAATGATGAAGAGATGACATTTTATGTCCAAAAGGTCAAAAGTCAAAACCACGGTGACATCACAATGTTCTGCAAGAGCACTTTCCTGGCCATTACTCAATGTCATATCTCAGGAACAGGAGGGGAGACATTCGGTCATATACTGAAGTGGTGACACTCATCTTGGGTGTCCACCTTGAAACTGTGCTGATGGTGTAGATCTTCTGTGCTGCCGGAGGGAAGATGAATGTGAAGCATCCATGTTTTCACAGACAGGGATGTATCTTGTAAGTGTAATTTGACTGGGTCATAGAGGTATACAACCTAGCTCTAATTTTATAACATTCAGTTTTCTCTTGTATCTCATCTTATTGCAATCCATTACATCTTTTATGTAATCTCATCTCATGTAACGTTTTACATAATCTGATTTTATCTTGTGCCATCTCATCTCATATGCCAATGTCATCTCATATATCATTCCATCACATCTTATATGTAATTTCATCTCATCTCATCTCATCTCATCTATCATTCACTTTAATCTCATGTATTGTCCCATCTCATATGTTAACACATCTAATCAAGTGTAATCCTATCTCATCTCATATCTTATCCCATTTTATCTCATATTATATCTCATCTCATGTCATCCCATGTCCTTGCATCTCCTATGTGATTCTGTCTCATTTTATCTGATCTGATCTCATCTCATCTCATCTCTTACAGATTTGAATGCATGAATGCCTTTCCCCCACCTTCTCTCCATTGGCCTGCAGCACCCACAGCCTCCAGCTGCAGTCATCACTGGCAGTAGCGAGGATCAGCTTTTGTGGATGGAGGTCAATGCAGCTGATGGGAAGCTTGTGGGCTCTGATGGAGTAGGACAGGCTGAAGGCACTTGGTCTCTTCCATTTTTGAAATTTCACCTGATCCAGGTTCACCAGCCTACTGTAGACAGGAAACTCTGTGTCCTTGGGATGTATGCTTATGGTGCTTTTAGCTGATAATGTGTCAGTGCTGTGGCTCCTTTTCATGCTTCGGTCTTTCATTTTTTGGGATATTTCCTGATTCTGTCTCGGGTTTATAATGTTTTGAACTCGGTCCTTTTCTAAACTGATTAACATTTTCTGCCTCAGAGCTACTTGATACTTGTCCTCCAGCTGCCTTAGTGTTGGCTTGTAGGACTCAAGGTGTTTCTTCAGTTGTTTGAAG